AGATAGACGAATATATTTTGTAACCTCGATATTTTCAATAAATATTGAATTTTTCATAAAAGTAAAAGTACCTATTAGTTAAATGTACGATAAGAAACATAAATAGGCCTTTTGTTAAAATAAAGAGTGATAATTAATAAAAATTACAATAAATTTGGCTTATAAAGAATTTGTACAGTCCCCCAAATATAGAATGTAATAAAACACTTGATCAAATTTTAAGGGTCATTTTAAAGTACATAATGAACACTAGTTTTTTTCTTTTTTTAGAGTTCTAACTCTGCAAAAAAAATAATAAAACAATTTCGTTCAAATTTAACATGCAAAAACATTGCAATTGGTCAACTCTACTGATTTCATCCTTCCCTGCAGTCAATGTCGGATGGTTAACAAAATAGTCTACTGAATGGAATAGTACTACGTCATTACAAAGATGCCATATTTTAATTATAATGCTGTAATTATAGCAATAACATAGGTAAATCCCTCTTTATAAAGATCACTACAAACAGTTCTTTTTTTTGATAGTCATTCATTGTAACAAAAGTTGAATGAGCAAGTGGAAATTTCTATTACATATGGTTGGCATGGTGCATGACTAATATAATATAAGTAATAGAATCAGTGAATTTCCAAACAGAAAAACTATTTAAAAAAAAATCATAATCGGTGGCAGATTATTTTCTTTTTAATTCAGTTCAGCTTCTTACCGTAAATGAAACTTTCAAGTAATCAGGTCAGGACTAAATTTTCCTTTGGCTTCTAAAAAAAAATATTTTGAAGAATAAAGCAGAAGAAGAAGATACCTTTAAGATTACACTGATTACAAGAACGCCCAAAGGTTGAGAACATTTAGAATTTTCCTTTTACGATTGACACCACCTTGTACTAACATGTTTGTAAATATAGAAAACGCAAATATTTACAATAATATTTAAAAATAGTTACGCTACCTCTGTTTGTCAATCGAAAGATGTGCAAATATTATATTATTGATGACTGCTCCCAACGGTGGGTTTGCCTAGATAAAAGCCTACAGATTTTGCTTAAAATTCGACAATGCTGAATGGAATTCTTCGCAAATTTAAAAATAAAATAAAAAATGTAAACAATGAAATATTGACGTCATTATCTTAAATTCCGATGCCGAAGGTAGTAGTATGGAATATGTCATGTCTAATTCACATAAAATCTACGTCAATACCTAGAAGACCGATGAGACAATGAACACGTTGCTTCTGTAAACACCATTTTATCTATATTATTTGACGTCGTACTAATTTATTTTATATCGATAACTTTTGAGACATATTTTCTAGAAAGTAACATAAAAGTCATTAATAAAATTCGAAACATACTTTATTTTTGCGAAACAAAAGTAATTCGGCCAATAATGGTAAATTTGGTAACATTTTTACGTTTATATTCCCAAAAAAAATTTAAATTGTTACCGCTAATGACAAACAATGACAAGTAAATACCGTGCCTAGAATTTCGCTAAAACCGTATCTAGTTTCTCAGAAACATATTTTTAACTTTTATCTGTGAGGACATCTCAGATTGTGACGATGGATTCTCATAAGATAAAAAGGGATTAAACTATTGACATAGGGAATTCACTGTTTGACTTGAGATTTTCCTGGGTGCTTTCGAAATTTATTCATCAAGCCACAGATAAATATTTACTAGACATCCCGCGAAAAACACATCTTTTTTTCATTTCAACAGAAACATACCCATTAAAAATTAATTTTATTTACTAATTCAGTATTTTGCGACGCCTCACAAGGTGAATGTAAACGGATATATCATAGTGGCTTTACTTTGACACATGATAATTAGACAAGGCGAAAACCTCGCATTTGTGGGAGAAATTTTCCGATTCGATTTTTTGCATAATCAGATTCGTGAGATGTTCCTTAACATGAATCGAGATGATGCCGGCCGGAAATCTGGTGGCCATTTGTTTAAACAAACTTTTTTAAACAAATTGTAGAAATAGTTTTTTAGGCTTTTTGGTACATTATAAGCAAAAAAGTTCCTATGCACTATGCCTCTAAAATTGATAGTTTTAAAGTTATAAACAATTTAAGTTGCTAAAAATGCGAAATTAACGATTTTCAACGGCCGATTTCCGGAACATCAAGGAACATCTCACGAATCTGAATATGCAAAAAAATCGAGTCGGAAAATTTCTCACACGAATGCGAGGTTTTCGCCTTATCTAAATTGTATTGATAAGAACCAAAAAAATATCTAGGTCCTTTCTCAATTTTCAGAGCAGTATTTGTTTTTTGAATATTTTATTTGTTTTCCAAATAAATATCGAAACGATAACATCTGGAAAATTCTGCGCTAAAAACAGTCGTATTGTTTAAACGTGTCCGGCAGGAACAAACAATTCCTCATTAAATTGGGCAAATGGCAATGAGTCAAGTGCATATTCTCGTACCGTAACGCAGCACGTAGCGAAGAGAACGATCTGAATCATGCCGATTTGTATTATTCGTTTAAAAATGACAACACTATTGCATGCTTACTGTTATTAAGCTGTTGGAATTGCGCGCATTATTTTAATTGGGTAACAAGAACCAGAAAAGTGCTCCGCAAAGTACAATTCGTATAGGCCGGACGATTGTATGGCAACAAACAGGGTTGCCACGTCGTCACGCCTGGGTGTACTCAGACACGGCGGAGATCTGGGTCTTTTCGTTGACCCGACCTACTCTGATCTGGGCTCTAATAAGGTATAATTAAATCAGACAGAGGATGTTTTAAAAATAGATGTTATGTGAGTGCGTATACTAGTTTTTTTAGTCAAACTTATTTTACTTTAACATACAACTGCATAACAGCGAACACCGTTTACAGGATGGACTAGTTAAAGAAAACAAAATACAAAAAAAATTAAGAAAACAAAAAACTTGACTGAAGATTAAGATTAAAAAAATGTTTTTCTGTGTTTTCAAACGTATGTGTCTGATTTTCTTATTTAGAATATCAAACTGAAGGAACAGTAAATATGGAACATACAAAAGCAAAATAAAGGAAAAAAGTTTAGTAGTTCATTGATTGGTTAAAATTTTCTTGAACTACGTATTAAAAACCATATTTCTGTTGGCACTATGAATAATTGGATGAATGTAAAATTTGATTGAGAGTCAAGGATCAAAAGTAAATTCTAAGTCATTAACTGTGCTGCTTCTTAAGAGAGGAAGGTCATTTATGTTATAAGAAAAAAACTGATAAACTGGATAAACGAAATTAGGATTAGAAGCAATCGTTTATTAGCAAGAAATATGTCTTTAAGGTGGCCATATCCCTGGTCGAGAAATAGTCAAATTTCTGGCGTTTTTAGGTACAGAAATCTTGAAAAATAAAACGTGTAGAACAAAAGTAAGCCCAAAAATAAAATCCTTGATGTTCGGTTTATTCATTGTTACTATTTAAATTTACTCAAATAAAATAATAACATGCGTTTGCTGTTATCCTAACCCCACATTTTAAGAATTATTTTCACATACTTATAAATAAAAGTAAACAATTTTATATGTAGGACTAAGCAAGTATATGTTATAAGAGTATATGTGGAGTTATATATAAAAAAAGTTGGTATTTTCGTAAATTTCAGTACCTAAAACCTTGATGGTTTGATCGTTTTTTGCACCTGTTTATTCGTTTTACTGCGGCGTCTTTGAAAATACACAGATGTCATGACATAACATACCCGTTATTTGATAAGCTTCAAATTATTCAGTTATTAAATTACTTAAATTATTTGTGTTTGTGGAAAACACTATTTCAAGAATATGGCGCCCTCTAAGGAAACAGTACTATTTTAAATTTCGTTTATTTAACAATTTTACTGCAACAGAATTGACAGAGTAAAAAACATACTTTCTAAAACAATCCAACACAATCTAAACAATGTAACCAATCTAAACGATATAAAAATCTAAAAAATCACTAATTTTTATTGACCTGTCTTATTTAAGATATGTTTTTCTATGGAGTTGAAAAATAACTAAAAAAGTTATGGCAGTTTAAATGATTCCCAATGGTCGCTTGTGGCGCCCTCTAAAAAATACAACGAAACCGTCGATAAATTCGAATTTTTCATAACAAAAATCCTCCGAATACGAAATTTCACGAAATTAACTCGAAGTATTCGAAAGATACTAAAGAAAATGTTATTTTTTCAACTTTGACACAATGTAGCTCCGTTTGCAACAATTTTTGGGCTAAGGCAAATTGTTAAATCGACTTCAAAAATTTTTTATTCGTACTATACGTGGTGGAGCGTTGTACAGGCCCTTTATAGAGATCCTATACATATGGCGATGTATATTTTGTATTTGTCTGCTTTTTTCTTAAAAAATAACCCTTGACTGGCGCAAAGGTCTATTTCATAGATTTTATATATTTTTTTATAGTAAAATAGTCAAAAAGAAAAATATAAGATACTTAAAAAATAACTTATAAGACTACGAAAATGAAAATATTATATTTCGATTGTGTCTAGGGAAAATTGGAAATTCTTGAGTATTGACAAGGTACCTGTTTATTTTGTTATTATTATTTTGTTACTGATTACGTTGTCCTTTTAGTCTCAATAAAGCTAATAACAGTTGTTTTGTAACATTCCGAGAGCAATGCTATTATTTACATTAGAATGTAAATAAATACAACGTTAGAACGCAAACACCGTCCCGGCAGACGGAGAGGACGTGGCAACGGCGCGCGATCATTACACACACTCAACGGTTAACACACCTAGTGCGGGCTTGCCTGTGACGTTTCACCAGGCCGCCACGCTTCCGTGACGTCACAATCACGGTCAAGCGCGGCTGCTATCAGCCCGCGTGCACGTGAACATCATGCTCGCGATCACGCTCAGGACGGCTGATCGACCGGGCTGGATTGGCGCTCTCGAGCGAGCCCCCAGCCGTTATTGGCCCGCTGGCGGATGCAGCAAGCAACACACCCCAACAGCCCATGCCACAGCAATAACATCACTCAAAGCTTCAAAATACGGGAATCATTTTAATTCGCGGCCGCCGTCGAAGAAAGACGCGTCTAGTTAACAGACAGTAGTTTAGTTTTAAAGTTTCCAAGTGACTGTGAAGATGATCAGCGCCGAGAGGGCCCTGCTCTCGCCACCCACCACGCCGCCCCTCAAAAATGTAAGCTCACGTTTAACACGTTTATATTCTAGCAATTATTTTCTCTCAAATAACCTTTTTTAATCTTTTCTTGTTTATTAAACCAAATTTTAACAATCTTTCGAATTTTCAAAAATTCATTCAACAGTATTTAATTTTTTTTTTATTGAAATGTACTAAAGAGACGTTTTCTTCCAGATGTCAGACGATGAATCCACGCAACAGTCGGCGATCTTCCAACTCCGCACCTTTCTGGGCCAAAAGAGATCCCTACCATCCCCAAACATACTCACTCCACAACCTTCAGACTCGGAAAGCGAAGAATTGGATTTCCCTTTGAAAAAGAGGCGTTACAGAAACGACAGCGAACTGGCACGTCAATTATTAATAAACACGCCGCCTCCAGAACCGCAAATCCACACTTTCGTACCACCCGCAACCCCAGTAAAACTTTTCGAGCCCATTAGAAACAACCAACCACCAAGAATCCAAAGGACTGTCTCAGTGATCATGAAAGCGAACCAGGACGGATCCTGCACACCCCTGCCAATTCCAGCACCACCCCCCGCGCCCCCAAAGGAAATAAACATCCTGAAGAGCCTTAAATTCAAAATGGGGAACCGCAAGGAGCAGGTGTACAACAGCGAGAAGGACATTTCCAAGGAAGTGGCTATCCCAGCGCCTTCGCCAAAACTTCCAATCCCAGCTCTACCCGCGTTGGCGCCCAAGCTAATCACGCCCAGTCACCCGCAGACCATCTTCATATCCGCGGACGGCACCATGCTGCCCACGCAGATCGTTCTGCTCGCTCCTCCGCCGCCGATGACCCAGGTGCGCAAAAGGGTGTACGAGTGCACCTACGAAGGTTGCGGGAAGAACTATTTCAAATCGTCGCATCTGAAGGCCCACAACAGAACCCACACGGGCGAGAAACCCTTCATCTGTCAGTGGCAGGACTGCGGGAGGCGGTTCTCCAGGTCCGACGAGTTGTCCAGGCACAAAAGGACTCACACCGGTGAAAAAAAGTTCAAGTGCGAGTTCTGTCAGAGGAGGTTCATGAGGTCGGACCACCTGGCGAAGCACGTCAAGAGGCACGCCAAAGATAGGGTTAACACCCCCAGGGTTAACCTGGTGCCGGTGTTGAGGCCCCTGCAACCCGCCGGTGTACCCGTTTCTCTCTGATTTCGTTCATGACTTAAAAATGAGCTCAATCTTAGATAAGTCGTTGTAAATAGATATTTTTTTATTTTTATATATGAAAGAGCGTTTTGTTGTTTTTTTTTGGTTTGTATTTGGATGATTTTGTATATGTTTTGAGTTTTGTATACTTTTATCTTCCTTTGACTGCGTCATTTTCGTTTCATGTTGTATATAAATACATTCCATTCTATCGTAACGATATAGAATTCTATATTTTTATCTGTGATTGTAATATTATCTATTTATTGTTTGTTTAAGTATTACTTATTTGTATGAAAGTTAAAAGACCTTTTTATGAATATATTTTGTATTAAATACTATTTATTTGTTTGCTTTAACAACATCCACCACAAGATATAAAAAATATTACTTACAAAAAAATGCATTCACATTAATAAAAAGAAACAGAATTCACTAATAATGACTAATAATTAAATCCAGCTTTTTTAAAAGTGGAGTACAATACATTTTTAACACGTATTTCATCCACTATTTGTTTTCTTCACAACTGTGCTACTGAACAGATATGAAAATATCACGGATTTGAATTTATGGAAGATAAAAGCAGTTACTTGAAAATTGAGATTAGTCACTACATTTTCATTGTCGTCTAAATCTATTTTTAGTTCTATGACGACGTGATAGAAAAAGAGTTTATTAACATTTATTTTATAACAGTTCCAACTTAACGTCTGGTATGAACTATAAATTTCTGTTTTACATTTAAATACACAAATACCGTATTTTTAACTTTCACTTTGAGTATTCGAGCAATTAAACTTTCCCATGTGTTCCCACTCATCTTGAAGGATAGTTAAAATTGTTCTTTTTTCTGAAATAAATTCGCTAGAAAAGTTTCAGAATGAGTAGGCTGCGGTTTCAGGAATCAATGATGACCTTGGCGCTACTCGTGTATACATATCGCGAGCCTAACGATGTAATGCAGCCAGGAGTATAAACGATTGTTTCAGGAGGTAGGCGTTTCGATATTCAAAATTAATTTTCATTAATACAGGGTGTTAACATACTTAGCGAGAAGAATTGTTTCAATTCTATTTTAGGGCAGTCGTCAGTCATACATTAGTTTTCTATAAGAAAACGAGTCGTATTGGTAGATACAATCATAACTGAAAAAATGTTTCAAAATAGGTTTCATTGTATCATTATGGTAAGTCAATAGGCATTAGCAGTATATATTCTATATGCAAAATATTTTCTCTAAATGTGTAAACATCTTTCAAATTTTTATTCGTTGCAGCAAATTTTTGTATATTATTTTACGCAAAATAGCGAATTATTCGTCAACTGTATAAATATGTAAATTCAGAGTACTCAACCGTTATATGGAAAACTGTATTATATTACAAAATGTGTGTATTTATATGAAATAAATAAAATTGCGAATTTTACGTACCTATACAAAGTAATTCGGTACTTTGAGTTTTAATCACTTAAAAAGTTATGAACATTTTTATCTATGTAATTATAAAAAATGTAAATTTAATGCACTTCTAAATGTTTGAAAATCCCCAGAATTTTTCGAAAAAGGATTAAAAGTATTATAAACAAATTAATAGCAAAAAGGATGATTCAACTCTGTTAAGTTTTTAATTTTTTACAATAAATTAGCGCCATAATCAAAAAATAGATTATTAAAAATATGGGACAATTTTTTTGCGTCAACTATACTTTGAAACTGTCTCCCATTTTTTAGTAGTACATTCATTATTCAATTTCTTTTTAAAAATTCGTCAAAAAATCATTTCCAACGAAATTTTTGCTTTTTGCTAGAGGTAGAAGGGGGCATAGCACTCTCAAAAAATGTAAAATTTCAACGGACAGATCTTTTCCAATTTTCCATAAATTTCGCAACCCTAACATATAAGTTAAAATCACATTTCTAGAAAAACTGACCTAGAGATTTAGTGTTTTTTTCAAGGCTATGCCCTCCCTGTTACGTCTCATAAAATATAACATTTTAAAGATTTTTTTGACATTTTCATTAATACATTTTATTTAAAATTGCCTTTCATTTGTGAAAGAGCAGTTCTTTTAAGGTAGTATTACTCGAGAATGGTCGGTTATTTAAAATAAAGTATATAAAAAGATTGTTTAGATTTTGATGTTTAATCAGAAAGTGACTACCTCAAGTTTCATGATAAAATAAGGATTGGTTTTTCCTTATCATGATAAATTTATCATATCTATCTGCATAACTAAGTGACATACGTAAATTTAATTGAAAATTATATTTATTTGGCAGCTGGAGAAATCAGCCCTTATATTATAAAAAAATAAATAAAACTGACAATTTTTAAGTCAACTTCTGAAAATATTGAAAATTTTCGAAAAAATGTATTATCTTCTACACCCTGTAAATATCTCTTTAAAATATGTTTGGTCCAACCGCCATATTTTCAGTACCTAGTAGGTATTTCCAAAGAAGTATTTCTAAAACAACACTTTCTGTCAGGTCATGGCGACAGCGAAACTTTTTATGTTCAGATTGACAGCTCAATCTCTTCCAATTCCTTAGCCCTGAACATTTTAGTTTGCTTTTGCATCTACTAACAGTATTAAATTATACAGTTCCACAAAAAAGTAGTGTGCAATTGTTTATAACTGAAAGCCTTAATAGGTTATGTTAGGTGTAAAGCCCTTCTGTTCTTTTCTGAGGTTTCTATGGGTAGCACTGAATTCAAGAGAAGAATATATTTGTGCATTATTTGTAGCCTTATCATTCTAAAAATTCGATTCGTCTATTTTTTCAGGTTAGAATTTTCTGGTGTTTAGCTGGGGCAATTCTGACTTCGGATTCGGATTCAGCGGGTCAAAATACAAGGAATACATAGGTCAGATCATGATTTTCAGTCAGATTTATTAATTTTGTGAATTTTTAATATTTTTTTATGTCAGGAAGGATTTCGGATTCGTGTTCAACGGGTCAAGATACTTGGGAATATAAAGATCTAACCACTAGTTTCAGCCGTTAACAAATCATATTTAGATTTTAAATGCTGATTTGTCGATTTTGCAAGCATTTTTTGATGTTCGAAAACTCCGATGATTTGCAGCGGCTCAACTCGGAAGACCTCCCGCTGTCTTACATCGTTGGGAAGTGTAGTACGACGCTCTCTATGGCCTGCTCGGAACCGGGGCGTCATCGCATCAGCATTCACGGGTGTTGCACGTTGTTGAGGCATGCCCATTGACGTCATTTCTCGGTCGCGATCCCCCGTGTCGTTAAAGTTCACATCGTGAACCGTAAATCGTTTGCCGCAATAATAAACATGACTGGTATTTTTAAGGCGGAACGCTCTTGGGGGTGGATGGGTATCGCTTGCGGAGGGAATCCTGGATAATTTCGCGTGTTGGGAAACTCGCTGGATGAGGAGGGAGGACGTGTTTATTTCTGGCGTACTTGTGAATATTTCGGGCGCCTAAGTGGTCGCTATCGCGCGTGATGAAATTTGTACCTTCTTGACGTTTTATTAAGCAGGCCTCGTTTGTGGAGCACTTGATAGATGTTTATTTGTTCTGGGAAATTTGGAAAACGTAACAAAGGAAAAGTTTCCGTTGAAGATTGTTCGTTGGGTTGGACGCCTATCAGTCAACAACTAAACAATTTTTAAAAATAAATGCCTAATATATAAAAAAAAATGCTAGGCTCTTGCAAAAAACTTCTAAAAAACATGTCTAAACAGGTTTTTCTTTGATTGTAAAAAAAACGTCATGCAATCAGCAACTTGTCGATATAAAATAAAAATCTCGTGAGGCCCGGGGCTACAGACTCCCCCCTTAATCCGGCATTGAATGGGATTTGGAGATATCTGAAAAACTATTATCGACCTTAATCTTGAAGACAAATCCAACCATCAAATGGGATATTTGGTATCTTCATTTATTTCAAGGATACAAAGGGATATTCATTTTCATGAAAATTTCTCCCATCCCTAAGCATAATAATACAAGTTACAATACGAGTTACAATTATATATCCCAAAAAGAGCCGAAGTTTTAGATAAAAGTTTTAGGACATGAAGACAGTGTGCTGGTGACCTTGAACTTAACCTTGACCTTTAGTTTCAAGGTCAAACGTAGGCTAACTAGAAAAAGTATTAAATGGAACACCCAATAGATAGATCGACAATTTTTACGCCCGAATATGAGGTCAAAAATTTGCCCTGAATGTCCTTGAAGCTCATTTGAAGGTCAACCTCCTTTTTCTTTGAATAACTCTACAAAAATGTTTGAAATAAAATATGTAGCATTTTTAGAAACAAATTAGATGGTGACCTTGAACTTAACCTTCACCACAAGCTGCAAGGTCAACTTAATATCTAATGGAAATCTAATTTTGTCAGGAATGTAGGAATCGGAAATCAAAAATTGTTTCCAGGATATCCGTGCAATTCATTTGAATGTCAAACTCATTTTTCACACAAAATAGTGAATATAAAAGTAATAGAATTTAACAGACGTATTCAACTAAAACTACAAATTAGTATGATCTTGACAACAATTTTGAAATTGTTCGGTTAATATGATAAGGTCATTCTGGACATTAATGTCTAATCAGCTGTTAGGTCAAATCCAAGTAGACCTTTCCTAACCTCGAATTCGGACGTAAGGACATCAGCATATTAGTTTCTTCATATCTTACAACTTTTATCAGAAACTTATTTGGTAGGATCCAATCCTGAAAAAATATCGGGAAGTTTGGATCTTTTTGGGACACCGTGTATAAAATATCACAGTTATAAATATAAACAGGTATTTCAAATTACAAACGCTAAACTGTACCTGATAATAGAAAATTTAAAAAAATTATATAAACAAGGGACAAATAACGCTTAATTTTCGAGATAACAATTCTGAAATTAAACAAAAAATCACATTTATGATTTTTATTTAGACAACAATTCGCTGAGTTGATGCACAAATCTGTCAAGCAGTGGACAATACCGCCTCTAATAACCGGGAAATTTCGACACCGCTAAATATTAAGAAAATTGGGTGCAAAAAAGTGCATTTAATTCGGGTTGGCGTTTCAAAGAAAAATTACGCCTTCCATCTTATTCGAAAAAATAAGCCATTCTTGAGTAATTATTTTTTTAAATGTACCAGTCTTCGACATAATTGAGTAAATCGAAAGTAACTCGACACCTATTCGTTTCACACAAAAAGATATTGGATTATTTTTGTTGTAAAAAAAATTCTAATTAATGTAATAATGAGGAGTTCAAAAAAATGCGTAGACATTTTCTGAGAACTAATATCCCCTTAAAAATCTAAAATTACTATGCCAATATTTTTTACG